GAGAGAGAGAGAGAGAGAGAGAGAGAGAGAGTTCTTCTTCTTCCTCTTCTAAGTCCACCATCTCTTCCTCACCCTCTTGCTACCTGACTTCTCGGTATCTGCAGACTACGAGAGAGAGAGAGAGATTGGTGACTTTGGGATTTGACGACATTTGGATCCAGACTCGACATAGGGATTCAGACATTTGATGAGGGATTATTTGGGAGTGTACTGAAGACTTGGTGTTGACGACATTCCCATCTTCCCCTCTTCTTGAGCGCCGGGCCCCTTCACACCATGGAATGATGATGATGATGTATGTTTGGTCTGCATGGCAACATTGATTGTTCGGATCATTGGTATTCAAGCCTTCCGCTGTGTTATCTTGTGCAAGGAAAATGAACAGAAGCGAGATGACAATATTCAGATTGCACAATCACATCGGAAGCCAAATCGTATCACTGTGTTCAGAAAGCAGCATTGCACCAATATAACACTAATGGAGAACCGTAGTATGTAAAGTCAATGTCAATGAGAGCTTGCTCTCGGCACCACCAACATATGTATCTAGTCTGTATCTCCCTACTTGGCGCTCGACGCCCAGCCTACTCCCTACACAGCTACTATTAGCCTACTAATTGACAATGCAACTGTTGACGTCCGCAGCCTTCGAAGTACTTGAAGATGTCGCCCATCCAGACCATCGCAAATACCATCCTTCTCTCTCTCTCTCCCTTGTCTCTCTCTCCCACGTCTTCCCTTTGTACACCCGAAGACCACCCCTGCGCCTCACTGTACATCTAAGTCCGCCAGCTATGGAGGTTGGGCTATGGCGCTGCCCTCAGCAGCGCCCTGCTCTTTGCACGACCGCACGTGCTAGCATCTCGCCTCTTAGTGCTAGCAGCAGCCCACGAGCTTCAGCTCGAGCAGCGCTGCCGCCAGCATGCCAGTGCCCGAATGAGCTGCCAGCCAGCGAGCTCTTTCCTATATGGAAAAGAGTTGGCCTGGCTTCACACCCTGGCTGCTCTGAGCCTGGGCCCAGAAGCTTCCGGTAGGCCCCAAGGTGTTGCGCCTCTGGTGCAGCTACTGGGCCTCATTCGGTTGGGCCTCCCAACTGTCTATGTATGAGGCTGCGAATCTCGCCCAGGGCTTGTGCTTTCGGAAAGGCCTAGAAGGCCTGGGATTTTCGACGCTGCTCGGCCTGTGTTTTCCTTCAACCAACTGGCGCGACGAAACTGCCTGGACCCCAAATACGAAATTGACAGCCAAGGGCCTCTCGTGATTTGTTAGGCCCGCCTTCACTTAGGGCGGGCACATTTGTAGCAGGGGCCCCTTAGGCCTGCCGAGGACCCAGATCCTCGCATTCCCTCCTCCTTTTCTTCGATAGTCCTTTGAGAAGTCCTTATATAACAGGCTGCTTCCCTTTCAGTTTTCTTTCATAACTTGAGATAATTCTGGGAGTAGTCTTCATTAATTCCTCTCTTGTGAACCACCGGTCTTCTTGAGGATCAATGTGATGTCTGAACCGCACTCGATATTGCATCTGTGGCTTTGGCGGTCGTCCCCTTCCTGGAGATTTAGGCACAGGCATCAGCTTGTGCTCGATGATATCGTCAATGTCCACGTGTCCGTCCATTGTTGGGGCCAACATTGATCTCCTAGAGGGAAACTGATCTGTGGCAGCGAAAGGTGCCAACTTGGATGCATGGAAAACACGGTAAGTACGCAAGTGTGCAGGAATGCGAATCACGTATGAAGGCCCATCCGGTTGATCCCCTACAATGTCTAAGATCTCCCAGGGCCCAAAGTACGGTGGCATCAGTTTACGTGAAATTCCCAACTCCTGGCCTAGTTCAGATGACTTTACCCAGAATGTATCACCTACCTGAAAGTTAGAGGGTTGTCTATGTTTATTCTCAGATGCGATCATAGCATCCTGAGACTTTCTAATATGTTCAACGACGCACTGCAGCATCTGTTCATAATTAACAGCAAACTCTATGCTGCCAGGTGATGCAGTGGGTTGCCTTTCTGGTAGTAGAAAGTCAAGTGCAGTTTTGGGCTTCCAACCAAGGTGCAGCTGGTTGGGAGTCATACCAGTAGTATTGTGCACTGCATTGTTGTTCAAGCTGGCGACGAGAGGTAACTTCTCATCCCAGTCATCCTGACTTGGCTTAATATAATGCCGAAGTAGGTGTTGTACTACCCAGTTCATCTGTTCTGCCTAGCCATTTGACTTGGGGTGGTTCCCTGACGTCCTTTAGAGCTTGGTACCCATCTGTTCAGCTGTCGCCTGCCACAGTTCGCTGGTAAACCTTACATCGCTGTTACTTACAATCGACGTAGGTAGTCCAAAATCCCTGACCCAGTTATCCAGAAACAGTTTGATGACATAGTCAGTTTTAACAGTTTTCGGCATAGCAATAAGTCTTGCGTACTTAGTAAAGCGGTCCACTATCACGAAGATGTGCCTTTTTCCAGACTTACTGGTCACGAGAGTATCCATGAAGTCCATGGACACACTCTGGCCAAGACCTTCAGGAATCGGCAAGGGCTTGATAAGCCCAAGCGGAGCCTGAGTCCTAGGTTTGTCCCTTTGGCAAACCTGGCAAGTTTCAACGTACTTTTTTGCATCTTGCATCATAGTGGGCCACCAAAATTTCTGCACAAGGTTAGCTGAAAGTCTTTTTATAACCAAAATGTTCAGTTGCATCGTGACACTCACGTAGAAACAAACTACGCAAAGACTTTTTATTAGGCACACACAATCTTTTATTCCCTGCCTTTTCAAGAAACAGCAAGCCATCTACCATTGTAAATTTATCCAAATTCACTTTGTCCTTTGCTTGGAATTTACGAATGATCTCTGACATAACTGGATCTTGCTGATAGGCTTCCACCAACGATCAAGTCAGATCATTAGATTTGCCAAATTCAGTTACTAGCGCGCCCAGGTAATCTTCCCGTCGAGATAGTGCATCCACCACCTTGTTGTACTCTCCTTTGGTAGGATCAAGTTGATAGTCATACATGTGTATCACTTGTATCATACATGCAAGCGCACGTCGTGCGGGCGGTTCCCTACGTGTGGCGCACGTGCCCAACCGATCCCGTGCGGTGCACGACGTGTGCGGAGAACGACCCGTCACCCCCCTCAGACAAAATTTAAGGCCGGGGTCGAAACGGTGCGTTTGAGGCCCCCCGCCAAAATTATAAGCGAGATGAAAATTTTTTTTACAGGAGTACTGCCTCACCTTGCTCCACCTCCCCTTCCTCGTCCTCCATGTCTCCTCCTCCCTTCTCCTTTTCGTTTCCTCCTCCTCCTCCTCCTCCTATTCATCCTCCTCCTCCTCCTCCTCCTCCTCCTGTTCGTCCTCCTCCTCCTGCCCTTCCTCATCCTCCTTGTCTCCTCCTCCTCCTCGTACTTCCTCATGTTCCATGCCTCCTCGTCTTCGTCCCTTCATCATGTCCTCCCCTTCCTCGCCGTCCATGTCTTCTCCTCCCACTCGTCCTCCTTTTTTCCCTTCGTCCATCTCTTCTCCTCCCCCATCTCGACTTCTCTTCGTCGCCCTCGCTATCCTCGTCGTCGTCCTCGTCCACATCCTCCTCCTCCTCTCCATATCCCCCTCTCCTTGCCATATCCCCATCTTCCTGTCATACGCCCCCCCGTTCCCCCTCCCCCCCCAAAAATAAATAAATAATAATAATAAAGGTAAAAAACCTGCACGATTCCGCACAGGCACCCCCCGCACGGAACTCCCTACAGAACTCCGCACGAATGTGCGGCTCGTGCAGTTGCAAGTATGGCTTGTATCCATCTTTTGAGTGCGTTTGAGAGTATCGACTGTGTTTTGATCCAGCGCAAGGTCTCATGATCAGATCTTACATATAAAAATTTGCCAAGGAGATGGTGTCTCCAATGGACCAGCGCTCGGTACAGGGCATAGAGCTCACTTTCATAAGTAGACCTGGGTAGTTTCTAAGATGGCATTTTTTTACTCATGTACTCAATCGGTCTTAACTTTGGCCCCTCCTTTTGCGCAAGGACCGCGCCTATGCCATATTGGCTGGCGTCCGTGGTCACAACAAAGGGTTTATCAGGATCAGGAAGTTGAGGACTTCATAGCGAGTCAGAGCATACTTCAGTTTCCTGAAGGTCGCCTCACAGTATGCAGTCTACTCCCAAGGGGTGTCAAGTCGAGTTAGATTTGGTAATGGGGAAGCTATAGCACTATAATTTTTTACAAATGGACGATAGTAGCCCGTCAGTCCCAAAAACGATCTGACCTCAGTAACAGTTTGAGGTCTGGGTCAGTCACGTATGCTGGCCACCTTAGCATCATCCGGCCTCAATCCATCCGCTGAGATGTCATGACCCAAGTACAAGATCTTGATGCAACCGAACTCGCATTTCTTCAAGTTAACCTTGTACTGGTGCTGCCTTAGAAGACCTAGCACTATTTTCAAGTGCTCTGCGTGCTCCTCTACAATCCTACTAAAGATAAGAATATTGTCGAGGTACACGACGATAAACTTGTCTAAGTAATCATGAAATATCTTGTTCATTGCGTGCTGGAACGTACCAGGTGCATTGCATAGGTCAAAGGGCATCACCACAAACTCGTATAGACCATACCTGGTCTGAAATGCGGTTTTGTGCTGGTCCTCAGGTCTAATGCAATTTGATAGTATCCGGACTTCAGATCTATCTTGGTGAAGTACCGACATCCCGACACTCTATCCAAGAGGTCGTCGATGCGGGGTAGGGGCTCCGCGTTCTTAACAGTGATGGCATCAAGGCCCCTATAGTCAATGCACATCCTCAGGGTACCTCCATTCTTTGGGACAAATAAGACTGGCGCACCGTGAGGGGAGGTACTAGGCCGAATCCATCCTTTTTCTGTGAGCTCCTTAAGCTGGCGGCGGAGCTCATCCAACTCCGTAGGAGACATCCTATAGATTCGTCCTCTAGGCACCTTGCTACCTGGGACAACCTCTATTGCATGGACCACCTCCCTTTCTACCACGTCTGTGGGCTCCTAAAAAAGGTCGGAATATTGTGTGACGACCGTTTCTATCTCTGGGGGTGTTTTTACGACCTCCCGTTTTCAGAGACAAAGACTAGATACATGCTCGCCTCGCGATTCTTCTTCTAGTAGTTATAGAAAGAGGAAGCACACATGCAGCCGTAGTTCTCCACTAGACTGCTAGCCTTATACTTTTGCAGTCTAACGGTCCTATTGTTTGACAACTTGTGTATCAACACCTTCCTATCCCAATCAAACTGAGGTTGCGCGACCTCGAGGTAGTACATGCCTAGTAGCATATCAAAGGGCAGTTCGTCGCTGACGAGGAATGAGATTTTATGTCTCACTTCCCCTCCTCCATAAGAGAAGGAACAGACTATGTCCTTGACATAGTCTTTAACAATCATTTGGTGTTTGTTGGCTAGCATAGAAGCCACAGTTCTGCTAAGCCGATGCACTTGGTCCCCTAAGCGGAATCTATCCACACAAGCACGACTGATGAGGTTTCGTGTAGAGCCTATGTTTGCGAAGGCGCCAACTTTGCAGCCACCTACATCAACCTCTGCCACGAAATGTTCACCCTTTGGACCTCTACTGATCATCGGCCAAGAGTCTTTGGAGTTCTTTCCTGACCACTCAGTCTTCTAGGGCCTCAGACACATCTCTCGAACAGAGCGTCGGTGGGTCTGAATGTGTCTGCGGGGCGATACATGGATCACTAGCCCTGGCCAACGCCTGAAGTGGGGAAGGCAACGTTACCACTTCAGCGCGAGTAAGAGCGGCTAAAACTCTTAATGACCCGAGGTGTTTCCCTGCGAAGTGCTCGCAGAAGCACTGCCAGGGTTCGATGATAGTCCCACCATCGTTGGTGAGGCTACCCTCGTTAGGACTTAGGCAAACATGAAAAGAACTGCGGGAAAATCAATCTTCGCTTCGGGATTGGTTTCGAAGCTCCCATAGTAGTCTTGCCTCGGCATGTTCGGGACGTGTGGCCATAGTTGCCACAGTTCATGCACGTACCCCTAGCAACTCGGTCCCTCCACACCTCATACTCTAAACCAAGTTTCACCCATGCGGGCGTTCGTTGGTCGCCCTGACCCGTAGACTGGCCAACGTTCTTCTTCCCGGTCCCCCTAGCCTTTTCTTTGATGGGTGCCACGACTCCCCCATCCGAAGTCTCGCTGGCCCCATCGTGCTCTGTGTCCTCCCCAAGGTCTGGGAAGTCATCAATTTTTGTCGCCTGACCATTGTGGTCGACGAACATTAGTTGACCTTTCTTCTTCCAGTCATGGAAAAGTCTCTTCTTCCTACCATCTCCCTGACTCTGATCCACAGATCCCAACTTTGCCTCTATGTCTAAGACCTTCTTGCTGAAGGAAGCGAAGTTGTGTTGTTCGACATAGGCCTCGTCTACCAGCTTTGTCCTAACCTCTGAAGGCAGACATCTAAGGTAATCTGTGAGGAGTACATGCTGGTCATAGCGCGCACCAGGTACCACGAGCAGACGTTCTACGGTATCCATGAGCTCTCTAACATTCTTGTACCTTCTGGCACGAAGACTGTTGATTGCGTTCGTAGCCTTTTGGGCCCCTTGAGGGTCATGCCACCTATTGTACACGGACCGTACGAACTCTTCCAATGTCTGGGACTGGGCCCAGGCATCAAAGTTTTGACCATAGCCCTGTTGCTGCACTAGGCTATTCAACCAGCGAGCTGCTGACCCCTCTAGAAAGGAGGGCAGCTACTACAACTTCTTGCTCCGGCCTGGTAAGTTTGTGCCTCATATAGGTGGGCACCGTCATCACCGAGGTATCCAAGTGTTGCGCACTAACCTGGGTCTGGCTTGACAGTGGGACTGTAGTAACCACTGTCGTCGATGGTACGACTGAGACTCTAAGGACCAGACCACTAGTCGCCACATAACCACGTGGAGGGGGCATGCCAAACATAGGTGAGAATGAAGGCCCTACCGACGACGGCGTCACTGATGGACCCGCAACTGAAGGGGGAGCTACAGCAAACTGAGGTTGCCTCATCTCTAAACGAGGAGCCTGTAAAGCAGCCAGCATTCGTTTCTGGCCTGCCACTAGTTCAACCAACACTTCCTGTTGAACAACCTGGGTCTCCGCCACACACAGGAGCGAATTCCGCAGTGCTTGCATAGCGGGATCTAATGTGGACTCATCTAGTGTTTCTAGCTTGCCTAGTTCCTGCAATTTACATCTAGTCTAGCTTTTCTCATTATTGCTCTTCTTCTTCTCTCTGCTGCTTCATCCAACCGCCGCTGCAACTCATCATGAAGTTCTTCAGCTTGGAGGATCTCATAATCCTCCGGTGTGAGTTGAGTCTGCTGGCTGACTTGCAAGCCAACACTCTGGCTAATGGGAGCCCGAGAACCACTCTGACTAACTCCTGACGAAGTGGCCTGTGAAGAGGCTTGCGACATGGTAGAGGAAGTAGCCATGGTCGTACCAGTGCTAGCTGTAATCCTAGACCTGGCACTGGCCTCAGCCACCCTCGCTCTTCTTGTCGCTGTTCTCTGTCTAGCCTCTCTCCGCAGTCTCCTCTCGTCTCCTGGACCTAACTCGCAAAGGTCGATTGAGAGCAGTTCTACGAGTAGTCCTACGGTCGTCCACTAACAACTCCTCCTCACTAGTGCTTGCATCACTCATGAGCTAGAGTGTGTGTGATCTAAACTAGAATCCACACTGAATCCTGCCTCAACATGACGCACAACCGATTATGATACACAACTATCTTCGGCCGGCCTGGACAGAAACAGTTAGGTGGTTAGGTGTCACCCAGTGTCAGATTCTACAGGAAATATTAAATCTATTTTTAGATTACTCTAATACAGATTGCAATGCAGGAAAGAATATACTACTCTATCTGCAGCTGTCTGTCAGTTGTTAGTCAAGTCCGTAACAACTAAATAATCAAAAAAATAAAAATAATGCTCCCTGTAGAGATGTATGCTGGATGGCAGTTTATCTGATTAATGCCACCACGAACAGTTACCGGAATCCAACMCTTTCCCTGTATCCCTCTTGAGTAGTCACTTTGTGTCGACGTTCCTAGGCATCTGGTTGAGCAGCGTGTCTAAAGGTGTGCAATCCGGCCCACCCCTGTGCCCCAAGTCAACGCCGAACCTGCCAGCCCCTGCACATTATGTAGCCTCGCATGCAACGAGCCTTACACCCGGTTTGATCTGACTGATCAAGAGGCATTTAAGGAGATCCCCCGTAACTCCTCAGGAATTTTTTAACGTCGTAGAAAGGACGACGATCACAGCCAGAATCAACACCGAGTCCCCGCCAGAAATATTTAGAGACGGTCTGGTAAGCGTTTGTTCAAAGGGCTAGCATACCCTGCATGACCTCTATTGCGCAGCAGCAGAACCAAGGACTTGCGGCAAAGCATGCGTGTACTAGTCCCAGCGGTTTGGCATGGTGACCGTGACCCGAGTGCTTCGTCCAGGGCCCTTCAGAGGCAACGCCCGTCTCCCACCAGCTTGCTGCCCAAGAAAAATGTCGACTCTCAAGGTTGAGCTCTCGCGACACCTCACATTGAGAGGACTCTCAAGACAAGACCCACTTTCTCACGGTAAGAAGCAATGAAGAGGGTAGATAAGGAAGGAAGCAACGTACCTCATAATGCTGCCCCTAACAACAGATTTCTCACCGACAACCTGATGTGCACAACCAACAGCAGAATGCAGTTCCACCTCGGCTTAAATGCCACATCAGCGAGCTCTCATCATCCAGCGTACAGCCCTAATGTCACCACATAGCTTCCTGGCACGCCCACACGACCCTGGGCCGCCTACCGTTCAACACCCAAGCCTTATCACTGCCCCACACCTCATGCGAAGCACCGAACAGCTATTGCGAAGAACCAATGAGCACAGTTCGAACCAGCTCCGATACCAAATTGCAAGGAAAATGAACAGAAGCGAGATGACAATATTCAGATTGCACAATCACATTGGAAGCCAAATCGTATCACAGTGTTCAGAAAGCAGCATTGCACCAATATAACATCAATGGAGAATCGTAGTACTGAAAGTCAATGTCAATGAGAGCTTGCTCTCGCCACCACCAACATATGTATCCAGTCTGTATCTCCCTACTTGGCGCTCGGCGCCCAGCCTACTCCCTACACAGCCTACTAATTGACAATGCAACTGTTGACGTCCGCAGCCTCCGAAGTACTTGAAGATGTCGCCCATGCAGGCCATCGCCGATACCAGGTATGAGCCCTCACATCATCATCATCATCATCCTTCTCTCTCTCTCTCCCTTGTCTCTCTCTCCCACGTCTTCCCTTTGTACACCCGAAGACCACCCCTGCGCCTCACTGTACATCTAAGCCCACCAGCTATGGAGGCTGGGCTATGACACTGCCCTCAGCAGCGCCCTGCTCGCTGCACGACCGCACGTGCTAGCACCTCGCCTCTCAGTGCTAGCAGCAGCCCCAGCAGCGCTGCCGCCAGCATGCCAGTGCCCGAATGAGCTGCCAGCCAGCGAGCTCTTTCCTATATGGAAAAGAGCTGGCCTGGCTTCACAGCCTGGCTGCCCTGAGCCTGGGCCCAGAAGCTTCCGGTAGGCCCCAAGGTGCTGCGCCTCTGGTGCAGCTACTGGGCCTCATTCAGTTGGGCCTCCCAACTGTCTGTGTATGAGGCTGCGAATCTCGCCCAGGGCCTGTGCTTTCGGAAAGGCCTAGAAGGCCTGGGATTTTCCATGCTGCTCGGCCTGTGTTTTCCTTCAACTAATTGGCGCGACGAAACTGCCTGGACCCCAAATACGAAATTGACAGCCAAGGGCCTCTCGTGATTTGTTAGGCCCGCCTTCACTTGGGGCGGGCACATTTGTAGCAGGGGCCCCTTAGGCCTGCCGAGGACCCAGATCCTCGCACTTGTACTTTGTGAGAGAGGTCGGTTCTTGTTCTGTACCGTTACGAGAGATCAAAGATTTGGATAATCTTTTATATTTAGTATACGACGTAGAAGGGAATCTTATGCCTCCTGGTAATCTTCCAGAATGGTGGTTTATTCATGGATTTACTGTAAAATGCAAATTTAAAGGAAAAAAAATGAGGATATTAAAAAAAAAATTCTAAGTAAGGAAAAGAAAGAAATAGAGCCTTCTTATCGGAGCGGACCTCTCAATCAGAGGATCCGCCCAGTCAAGTAGCCAGCTTGCTTGATCTACTGATTGTAGAATGATTGATTGAGTGATTGATTGATTGTTTATTAGTAAATCAAGTCGGACTTCGTCAAATCTTTGCAATTTTTTTTATTTTATTTTTTTCTCTCACAACCAGGGTTGCGCCGGCGCCGACCGCCGACCCCGACCTCCGACCGTTTTGTCCCGACCGATCGGGGCTGACCGGTCGGTGGTCCGCCGACCACTCAGAAAACAGGCATCCGCTGCGTTTTTTTTTTTTCTGATTGCGCAGCCTTACTGTGCTTGCTGAGTACAGCCCAAATCCGCAGAGAAAGTTTTTGGGATGGGGGAGGGGTATGGGGGGTTGGGGTTGGAGCATACCTGCGGCGCAAGTGTGCTGGTCACCGATGCGCAAAAAAAAAAAAGAGAAAAAACAGAAAAAGGAAAAAACGGCTGTTATGTGTGAGAACACGCAAAAGAGATAGATAGATAGAGAGAGAGAGAGAGTGAGGGGGAAAAATGTAAACAAATAGCTCCTTATTAATATTTATTTCAACCCCCCTGCGGGTTATCCGAGAGGGCCCTGCACACAATCAGCAAGGGCCACATTGCCATGAACGAGGTAGTAGTCATAGCCATGCTGAAGGTATGGCACGCCAAGTATATATGCTGTTGATTCACTTTAAGGTCCGTGTTTCAGCAGTTATGGGAGCACTGAGCACGCGAGTTTCAGGGCAATAGCAGGCCAACTCACCATGTACTTTTCAGGGCTTCCCTCCACTAAAAATGTGCAAAACTAGAATGAATCTTCTGCTAGAACATGGAAATGTACGCCGCCATATGTTTTGTCTTTTGTGCAAGTGGTGACGAGTGAAGCAAGGCCCTTAGGGCCACTTGTCGTAGGAAAAGAAAACAAAAGAAATAGAGGAATGAATCTTCTGCTAGAACATGGAACACATAGGCCGCCATATGTTTTGTCTTTTGTGCAAGTGGTGACGAGTGAAGCAAAGCCCTTAGGGCCACTTGTCGTGGGAAAAGGAAACAAAAGAAATAGAGGATGAATCTTCTGGTAGAACATGGAACACATACGCCGCCATATGTTTTGTCTTTTGTGCTGGTGACGAGTGGAGCAAGGTCCTTAGGGCCACTGCTCGTAGGAAAAAGAAACAAAAGAAAGAGAGAGCTACGGTAGCAAGTAGTTTTAACCTGTAACCCATAACTCCTCGGAAGCAGACCTGACTTCGGATCTAGAACATATATGTTGGGACCCTTGCATTTGTACTGCTGGGGTCCTCCGCGAAAAAGACTATTCAAAAAGGAATACGTGTGCCCTATTTTTTTTTTCTGTGGGGAGGTGCACCATTGGCTACCTGAGCCAGCCTTCTCCAATTTTTTTTTTATACCCTATTTAGTGGGGT